AGAATGATAAAATGTAAAATAAAATATTAATTCTGGAAAACACTAGCGGAATTAATCTCACAATTATCTTAAAGATTGTTCACGAGTTCCCATAATTTAAATTGAAGTACATAATGGAAACACTTGAAAGATTTTATAATAGGATCACATTGTGACTTGTAAAACTATAACTAATTGAATAGTATTAGAAGCTAGGTTCCAGATGTCTTAAATTTTTCTCGTTAGTAAAGACTGAATACAGTTAACTATGAAAATTTCTTTAGTAAGCAAAAAGATATAATATAAAAGATGATTACAGATTATGAGATAAGGGAAGGTGGGAAAGAATTATATCATGGAACCTTGGAAACACATCTATGACACTTAAGTACATTTCAATATGGGGAATATACATTTTCATAGAAATAGTTACAAAATACAAATATTATGGTTGCTCTCATCATGAAGATTTTGGCCTTTCATAAAGGACTCCTTATGGTCTATAGATGAAATGATGGCAAGTACTAAATCTGACTCTTTTTTTTCTGTCTGGAGAAGCCAAAACTTCCCATGGCCTAATGGAATCATATTTAGGTATATCTGAGATCTCATTTATGTGGATAATCAAGCATAGGAGGTCATTTAAATGAAAGCAAACAACACTGAAAGTCAGAAACATTATGCCAGGTGATCTTTTTATGAGAAAGAAATTACTTATATTTTATAGGAAATTCAATGTAACAAACATAAATTATGAAGCTATAATGTGTAATATATTATGCTGAGCCCTGAGGCTACAAAGATGGAAAAAGAATAGCATATAGAAAAATTCCTAAAATTTTAGGATTTCAAATATTCCATTGTGACCCATTCAGGATAGTTTTGGTGCATTATATAGAATCTTCAACAATGTTGGCTCTAAGTGGTCATTTTTTGGGGGTATGAGGAACTTGACTTGTGGTTTTACAGACATTAGGAATTTCTCATGAGGAAAAACCTTTTTAAATGAAAATGGACACCTTGCTCTGAAACTTCTGGCCTTCTGAGCACTGAGAGCCCTGGGGCACTGAACGGTGGAGACTTGCCTCAGGCCACACAGCTAATATGTGACAGAAGTCTACTCTGAACATATGTGTTCCTGATTCTGAGACTTAGTTCTCTGTCCACTCCTCCATGTTGCCTCTCAAGTAGTCAATGGCAACATAAACTCATCTTGGCTAATACTAAACTTATTTGTCTCATTATTCAGTGGTTCCCTTCCTCTCCTTTTTCCCCCCCATTGGGATGGAAAAGTCTATAGACAAGTTAATGTCACTGAATGAAAACACTTCTCTCTGTAAGAGGGAGAGTTATGATGTTGGTGATGAGGCTGCTACTGTTGCTGCTAATGATAGCAACTCACATTTATTTAGAACTTTCAGCTTTATAAAGTATTTCTGCAATAATCCTGTAATGTAGGTAGTGTACATATTGTTATACCAATTTTACTGAAGAGGAATCTGAAACTCAGAGAAATAAGTTACTAGCCTATAGTCACATAGCTAGTACTCAGAATATGGGAGCTAGGATTAAAGGTGAGCTTTCCATATCCCGATGCCAGATTCTAACTCCTTTTCACATGGCAAAAAATGAGAAAGTTGAGCAATAAAAAAAACAGAGAATCTAGAAACTGTTAAAGCAATCTGTAGCTAGTTGTAACTCATGAGAGGGGAAGGTTCTTTGGACATACAGCACATAATTCCAGGCTTGCTTGCTTGATCTATCTTCCATCCATCCATCCATCCATCCATCCATCCATCTGATTTATCTATCCACTTATTTATTTACATATTAATTAATTAATTTATTTACTTGCTTATCTATTCTTTCAGTTATTTACTTACTTATCTATTATCTGTTTTTTCCATGACAGGCTAAGAGGGATATTATTCTTTTCATAATGGACACTATTGGCTAAGAAGAAAAAAAGTGCATGTATATATTCATGTATATATGCATGCAAGCATGCATACGCAATACATGTATGCAGACTTAGTTTAGAGTCCTCATCAGGATCAGTTAACTTTGGTCTTATCTCTACCTATGGAGTATACCTTTAGATAAATACCAGCTGAAAATTTCGTCAGTAGGTGTGACTCCTCACAAAGTAAGGGAAAAAGTGATTTATTCTATGTATTTTTATCTTTGACCATAACATTGGGACAGCAAGGAATAAGGACAACAGGGGGTCCCCGATGAAATGACACTATTATGCCCATTTATTTATACCCCTGTATCTGATATTTAATTAATATCATCTGTGTTTTTTCATATCCATTGCCTATATCTAAAATAAAATTTCCTTAATAGTTTTTGATAATACTTAAAACTCAAAGTGGATACCTGAAGCAGATAATTGAATTGAATTGTATTTAAGTGGAAAAGCATATAATATGGACCCAGCAAGAGGTTGTATACTCACCATGGGAAGACCAGCCTGATACAGGCTTACCACTAGAAATATGCTGCATGCTACATCATAATTTTAACATAACATGCTACATCATAATTCTGTCTTGGTCATAACAATTCATGAAGACTGTTAGGTAAGTTATACATGTTTTCTAAAATATACAGAGTTTTGAGCTTTGTCTTTGGTGGGACCATTTACACAAAAGAAACTGTATATCACTTGAAGAAGTGTTGTGTACAAAATACAGTAAAGATACAGGTTTAACATTCTAGTCCTGTCCTAGAAAATAAGTGGAGAATGCATTTTTCTCATTCTTTGTCCTGGAAAAAATAATTATCTGAAGTGGTCCATTTGTTCCTGTGAATGCTTGCAGACTCTATGTTCAAATATGCTGTTTCTAAATACATGCATAGGCTTAGAAGTTGGATACATATTTAACACATTAAAAAGTATTGTTTTTGCCATTCAGGTTATAATTATTCAGGATGAGGCTGTGGTGATTTTGCTTCTCACTAAAAAATGAGGTGAACTGCACATATTATTCTTTTGCAATATTTGCACATTGCTATCCCACCAATCTTAAGCAATTTTAAAAAGGTGGTTTTTTTTTTGGTTTTAAGTATTGATATAGTGAATCATGTTATGTAAAAAAGTAGTTTTAAATAATGTTTCTTATTTGGCCTGTTGCTTTCAGCACAATACCACCTATAATATATATACATTTTGGAGCCAATCAGGGTTAAGTGACTTGTCCAGGGTTACACAGCTAGTGTTTGAGGCTGGATTTGAACTCAGGTCCTTCTGACTCCAGGACCAGTATTTTACCCACTTAGATGCCTCAGCCTACAAAATTTTAAAGTGGAAAGTTGCATTGAATTCTCTGAAATAACAAGAGCTGTACAACTCCTTAAGTTTGTATTTTCTAATGGCTAGAAGTCCAATATCTTGTGTAAAGGAATGGAACATCACAGAAGGTCCTCCAACAGTTTAAGATACTGTCTTTATAAACATACTTTGAGAAATATCAATCACTACAAACTGTATACAATTGGAACAAAAACAATGGCAACCTAAAAAAAATCTCCAACATAATAAGTGAATAAAAACACTTTACTTATCTGTTTTACCATTCTAATGGGTGCTTGTCTAAACCATCTCTATTTTAAATGCAGTGAATACCAAATTGCCATGAACCATGAGACTTAGGAGCCATGAAATACCCAAGTTCCAAGTATAATGCAAAAATACATTCTTTTTACATTTTCACCTAGAAAATGAAACTTTAAAATAAATATGGTCAACTACATAGAAGTCACATTACCCTTGTATTAAAGAAAATTGTTAAGGCATTTATGTTTTCTAGTTAGTTGGTCATTATGACATTTCCCCTTAATATACCTTTAAGTAATTTCCTTTTTAAATTGTCCATGTTGCTATGTGATGACTTACCAAAGATCTTTAATAAAACACTGGGTCAACATTCTTTTATGTGGATATCCTTCCAGGCTATTACTCTGCTGGAACAAAGCCAAACTGGCCTTCTTAGGCACACAAGTCACTCTTTTCCCTTTCTGTGTGTTGTGGCACTGTCAGCCTCCATACCTTGTAACGTACCCTTCTTCCCCACTATGTCTTAGATGCAATCCTTAGTGTCCTTTAAGGCTCAACTCAAGCACCACCACCACCACAACAAAAAATGCATGCTGTTCCTTCCAGCTAGAATGCAAACTCATCAAGGGCAGGAAATTTCACTTTTGTCTTTGTATACCTAAGTCTAAGCACTTTGCATACCTAAGTCACAATAAATATTTTTCACTGACCGATTAAAGATATTCTTTTAGGGGCAGCTAGTTGGCACAGTGAATAGAGCTCAGCCCTTGGAGTCAGGAGGGCCTGAATTCCAATCCTGCCTCAGACACTTGACATTTACTAGCTGTGTGACATTGGGCAAGTCACTTAACCCTGATTGCCTCACCAAAAAGCAAAAAATTAAAGAAAAGATATTCTTCTAGACGAGGTTGTGCTTGTTAAATGTTTAAGAACCAGTTCTAAAAAAAAAAGCATCTATGACACACTTTTAAGTTTAATCAGCATTATTAACATTTTCCCCTTTCACATTCTTAGGTATAAACAATCTACAAAACAATAAACTGAGTCCTGACTTAGAACATTTGTTTATCTCTGACCTGTAAATACTCACACTACAAATTTAATAATAAATTTTCTGGAGATAGTACAAACTGGCTTCAGCATAGCCCTGCCAGGATTTTAAGATCGTAAGGACATATCGGCATTTGTTCAACTGGAGAATGAATCAGTTACTTAGTAATAAATAAACATATCCAATCAGATGTAGGCTGGTAATCATCAAGAACCTTTGGTAACACAGGGAGAAAACAAGTCTTGAGAAGCTGGAAGGTGCTTCTCCAGTGAAATAACGAACCAGATACCTGCCATAATGAAAACTCCTTCTTCCCTGTTGCAGGCTTAGAAGCAATGAGACACACCAGGGAAATTTTATTGAATGGAGAGAATCTCACAAAGTAGCTCTTGCATTCCCCAGACTCACCTTAGGCACCCAGTGGCATTACGCAGCACCTGTGAAGAATGGAGCTGTATTTTCCGATCATCCTGGAGTGGTGAATTTTCCCATCCAGAGTGAGGGATGATGACTGCATTGGTCAACACTGCAAGGGCATCCTGGATAATTGGCATTTTAAGTGCATCACATGAAGAAAGATTCCAAAGGACTCCTACAAAATAAAAATTAAAAACAGCATTTTTAGTAACCATTGGTTTTCTTGCTTTAAAACTGTTTCTTCCCTTACTGTTGTTAATAAAATTGTCAGGGAAATACAAGATAGTGAATGCAGGTGCAAGTTTCTTCTTTAAGACTGTGCCCCTTAACTTCCATTAAAAGATAAAAAAGGAATTCAGTTTAGAGCATCTCTGTGGGCCCTCAGAAATAGGGCTGTCAAAATCTGACAACTGTAAAGAGAGCTTGTAATTTAGTTATCTGTGTTTTATAATGGAAAGTAACCAGAGTTGGAAGAACTGATTAGGTACATGATGTTGAATAGGTTTCCATCTACTGAAAATGCAAGGGAGAGAAAACCTCCCAAATTTAAACCAATCTCATGTAAGCAAGCAGATTGGCAGAGCTACTTCTGCATGTGACCCACCATTCCTACCTTGATAACCCATCTATTATAGCCTATCCAATTTACTCTTGATTCTACATTCAATAAAACATGAAAATAAGGACAGTCTACTTGCAGGGATGCAAAAAGAAATGGGGGAAAATAATAAGAATAAATCAGGAGACCTAATGAATTAGATACTACAGTTGATTTAATAGGAAAAAGGATATGTTACCAATTCTGTCTATCTCTTTGTTTATCTTGGAAAGTGGTGCCTAAGGAGGAAATGCAACCTAGATTGCTGCAGGCAGACACTTGTGCCTTATTTGCCTGATGATTACAGGAAGAAACAGAAATGGCACGTGAATGTACTTGAATTTACTAACATGGGGTTGAGAGTTTCATATATACATACATATATTCACATATACACACACATATATGTATATGTATATGTGTATGTGTGTGTGTGTGCGTATATATATATATATATATATATATAATTTGCTTTAATCCAGGCTAAGGGAATTAAATATTTCTTTTTCCCATTTCTGTAAAGACAATTCTCAACTTCAGCGTTCAACAACCTTCTTAATATTTATGGAATCACAGAACTCAATACTGGAAGGGACTTAAGAGATCTAGTCTAACTCTCATGTTACAGTTGAGGAAGACTTGTGATTTTTCTTGTGACTCTATTAATATATGCAAAAATAGCATATATTTCTTTTGAGTATATTGATTCTTGATTTTTTTTTGTTAAATACAAAGGAAACACCCCCAAAGAAACCGAATTGTAAGATCCTTGAGTGCATCGACCATGACTTACATATTACTATGTTTCCCATAACTCCTAAATTAAAAGAATGAAGGAGAAGAGGAAGAGGAGTGGGATGGAGGAAGAATTCTTGTAAGAATTCCTTCAGAGGACTCATACCTAGCAGACTGGATAATATAACAGAAAAGCAAAATAACATGTTAGAGGGGGTGTGGAAAAATTGGGACACTAATGCACTGTTGGTGAAGTTGTGAACTGATTCAATAATGCTGGAGAATAATTTGAAACTATGCCCAAAGGATTATAAAACTGTGTATAACCTTCAACTCCGCAATACCACTACTAGGTCTATATTTCAAAGAGATCAAAGAAAAAGAAACAGGGCCTGTGTGTACAAAAATATTTATAGTAGTTCTTTTCATGGTGGCAAAGAACTGGAAAATTGAAAAATTGCCCATCTATTGGTGAATGGCTGAATAAGTTGTGTTATATGATTGTGATGGAATATTATTATGCTATAAGAAATGATGAGCAAGATGCTTTCAGAAAAACTGGAAAGACTAACATGAATTGATGAAATGAGCAGAATCAAGAGAATATTGTACACAGTAACAGTCATGATCAACTGTGAATGACTTAGCTATTCTCAACAATACAATGATTGAAGACCAATCCGAATGACTTATGATGAAAAATGCTATCCACCTCCAGAGAAAGAACTGATGGAGTCTGAATGCAGATCAAAGAACACTTTTAAAAAAACCTTATTTTTTTTTTTGGCTGTGTTTTCTTTTGTAATATTGCTAATATGCAAACATGTTTTGCATGACTACACATGTAAAATTTCTATCAAATTGCTTGCCTTCTTGAGGAGTGTGGAGGGGAGGAAGGGAAGGAGAGAATTTGGAACTTGAAATTAAAAAAAAATGTTAAAATTGTTTTTACATGTAATTTACATGTATTTGTCCCTCAGACAAATCTCTCTTTGAGATTAGAATTTTACATTAAAAGGGGGGATCAAGTTACAAGAGAAAAATGTTTCTATTTTGGAGAGAAAAAATAATCTTTTTTTTTTTAACCAAAGAGGAAACCAGTAAAATTTAAATAAAATAAATAATCAAACTGGATAACTATACTCCTCTGGACTCTGACAAAAACAAAACAAGATGAAACACCTCATTTTCAGAGTTGTTAGCTATGAAGACTAACCAATAATTAAGGTAAATTTTCATTGTTTCATATACATTTATCTACATAGTATGTAGGTATGTACTATACATTTGCATTATTATAGCTGGTTAAATGATAGTCATGGTTCTTGCAAAACGAAACTGGCAACATTTCCCATCTCTGAAATAAGATATTTAGAAGAAATATATAAATTTAAATTATTTTACATATATTCTATTTTATAATTCTTCTTACAATCTGTAGTTCATATGTATATACTATAGTACTTTACAGTTTAGAAAATGCTTTCCTTGCAACAAACCTATGAGGAAGCTAATGTAAATAGTAATTCCCCCCCCCTTTTTTCTTTTTACAAAGAGCTACAAGATAAATTAAATGACTTAACCATAAGTAGTGAGTGGCAGAGCCAAGATTTATGAACTCAGATGATCATAGATTTCAAGTTAAAAATGACTATGAGGTCATCTAACCCAAATCTCTTTTTTTGGTAGATGAGGAGACTGGGGCCAAGAGAGGTTAAATGACTTGTCCCAGTAACACTACTCTAGTGTTCTTTCCACTGCATTATAATGATTTTAGTTTCAAGGAATATTTTTAAATGATTTTTGTTTTTACTCCAGTATCCCTCAGGCTCCTAAAATATAATTGTGCAACATCAAGAAATATGAGGTTAATGCCCTCCTTTGGCTCCAACTATTACATAGACAAATGGTTTTCAAATCTCTCTCTTCCAACTCCAAATGATTCTCCTTTGCATATAGTCACCTTAGCAGTCTTCTGGGACTTCAAACTCAATGCCACTAAAACTGAATGATTATCATTTCCTTAAACTTACCCTACCCTTCAAGGTCCCCATCTATAATAATTGCATATCATACTCTAACGTCTTCCTTTCAAGTTATCTAGTTCCAAAAATTCAATACCATACTCCTTGCAAGGCTCTAAACTTTTCTCTGTTCCTTATTCCCCCAGTTCAATAATTCTACCTCTATGATATTTCCTGAGTCCAGACCCTCTACAACATTCCCACTGTAATCCTTTTTATAAAGGTCCCTACCTCATCTTGCCTATATTATTGGACGAACTTCTAACAGGTCTTCCTGACTCTTGTTCCTAATCCAGCTTCTAAATTTGTATCCAAGAAATCATTCTAATATAATTGTCTGATTATATTACTCTTCTACTAAAAAATCTTTAGCCACTTCCTAAAGTCTATCAAATTTCTTAGAATTGCATTCAGGGTCCTTTACCTTACCTTTTCTGTCTATTCTCCCACACATTGCTATATTCTAGCCAAACTGGACTGCTTTCCCTGTCCTGTTCTTATCTTTTCTTCTTCCATCAAAGTGACTTTGCTTACACCAACACTGATCTTGAGTGCTCCTGAAAAATGCAATCTCCACCTAGTAAGGACCCTTCTTTTTTTTCAGCTTAGTGTCCCTTTTCCCATATAGCCTTCTCAGAATTCCTTTTTAAAAAGAACCTATTCACCCCTCAAATTGCTCATAGCATTTTGCCTGGAATTTCTGTGCTCCAATCATATTTTACCTTTATTGCATTTTCCTTTGTACATGCCATTCTCCTATTAGTTAGTTTTTTATATGCAGTGATGTATTGTTTTTGTCTTTCTATCTCCAGCACCAAGCAAAGCACTATTTAAGGTTACTTATTGAATTGAGTATCATTTAATAATACAGAGGGAGCTAGGCTGTGTAGTGGATGGAGGAAGAACAGTGTTTTTCTTTGATTTAAAAAAGAACTGGTTCAAAGAATTTAAGCTTCTTTAAGAAGTAGGAAGAATGTGAGAAGTGCAGGAGACAAGAAAGAATGGGATCAATGGGAAGAAATGGAAGGACTAGCTCTGGCTTTAGAGGCAGCTTCTGGAAGAGCTGAGTTAGAATCTAGCCTCAGATACTAGCTGTGTGGCCTTAGGCAAGTCACTTAACCTCTGTCTCAGTTTCCTTAGCTGTAAAATAGGGATAATAATAGCAGTTGCCTGATAGAGTTGCTGGAAGTAACAATAGATATGTTATCTGTAAAGTAAATTACCATAGTGCCTTGCAAATAGTAGGTGCTTAATAAATACTTATTTTATCTCTTTCTTCTTGTCTTCCTCCCCTTCTTCCTCTCTTCCTTCTTTCCTTAGATATTATCTCTGCTAAACATGCACAGTATAGTACAAATATCTTTCAACACTGGTTATCCCTGCTTCCTTTTCTAAACCCAACTTCAAAAGTTCTTCATCTACAGGCAAGTTGTTACTGATATTTCAAAGCTGACAAAAAAAAATAGATTTGTTGCTTTCAAAATACATTTACTTGAAAAATAAGACTGTTGGAACAGAAAAATAACTTCAATTTTCATGTGACATACTTTAAAAAAGATCTCAACATTCTCTATAAAAACCAAGCAAATTTAAAAACAAATATTATGAGGAACAGGCAGTGGTAATGGAGAAATAAGGCAAATGGAAATTGAATGCTTTATCTCAGACGAGATAAGGGTGATTGGAATAAATAATGATACAATCCTGGACTTTTCTTTACTCTTGTTTAATCTGGTTTCTCTTAAAAAATTATTTCATCTTAATTGTACAATCTAATTCAGAAGCCCGGCATGTGTAGAAATTTTTTGGTTCATATTC